TTTCTTTCTACTTGAGCCCTTGGTATCAGCTTCTCATTTTTCCCCTCCCTCTCCCACCCTCCCTCCCTCCCGTGCCCCCCCAGAAGGGGTTATATGTAGATCATTGTGATTGGTTCCCGCTTTCTCCCCGCCACCTTCCCCTTCCCCTCTTGGTATCACAACTTTCATTATTGGTCCTGAGGGGTTTATCTGTCCTGGAGTCCCTGTGTTTCCAGCTCTGATCTGTTCCAGTGTACATGCTCTGGTCTAGTAGATTTGTAAGGTAGAATTGGGGTCATGATAGTGGGGGTGGGGGTGGGTAAGCATAAAAGAACTAGAGGAAAGTTGTGTGTTTCTTCGGTGACATACTGCACTGTGACTGGTTCATCTCTCCCTTGTGACACTTTTATAAGGGGATGTTGGGTTGTCTACAGTTGGACTTTGGGCTCCACTCTGCACTCCCCCTCATTCACCTTGATAGGACTTTTTGTTCTGGGTCTTTGATCCCTGATACCTGATCTCATCAACACCTCATGATCACACAGGCTTGTGTGCGTCTTCCATGTGGACTTTGTTGCTTGTCAGCTAGATGGCCGCTTGTTTTTCTTCAAGCCTTTATGACCCCAGAAGCTATATCTTTTGATAACTGGGTACCATCAGCTTTCTTCACCACATTTGCTTATGCTCCCGTTTTGTCTTCAGATTGTTGGGAAGGTGAGCATCATGGAATGCTAGGTTATTAGAACAAAGTGTTCTTGTATTGAGGGAGTACTTTAGTAGAGGCTCAATGTCCATCTGCTATCTTACTGCTTAACATATTTATGTATGTACATACCTGTATTTAGGCCTCTATAAATGTCCTTTGCCTCCTAGTTCTTTCCTCTATTTCCTTTTGCTTTCTTGTTGTCCCACTATCAGGTTCAGCCTTCATTCGGGTTTCAGTAATTCCTCTCGGCTACATTGCCCTTGATCAAGCCCCACTAGGCATCCTATACCCTCCTTGCCATTGATTTTAGATCACTTGTTTTTCCCTTGTCCCTGGGTTCGTTGACACCCCCCTTCCTTTCCCCTGCCTCCCCCTCTCTGGTCTCCCCTTGGAACCAGCAGTCCCATTGTTTTCTTACCCAGATTGTTTATCCCACCTATCTTATCTAGATAGACATGCAGAGACAATAATAAGCACAATACCAAGACAGAGCAAAACAAAACAACAAAACAAAAAACCCCAAACAACAACAACAACAAAAACCAATGATACTAAAAAGGAAAGCCTATAAATAGTTCCAGGTCTGTTTGTTGACTTTTAAAAGTGTTTTCTGATTGAGTCTGATGGGGTGCCACACCCTGGACCCAAAGTCTATTTTTGGTATTCCCCGGGGACTTCATTGATTTGCTCCCCTTGCTGCTCTGTTGCACGCCCTTAGTGTTTTGCCCTGGTGTGATGGGATCAGATCAGGCACAATTCCTGCACTGTATCTCCAGTGTTGTCTCTGGTAGTGCGATGGGTCATTGAGAGATATCTGTCATGTCTCGTGGTGGGGCTGGTCCTTTGGTCCTCTCTGTGCAGTGGCTGCTCTGAGCAGGTATATAGTCCTAAGGGCTTGATGGGCCAGGATGTGTTCCACTCTCTCTCCTTCACTCTTTGTTTGCTCCTATGTGCTCTGATCAGATGTACCCCTTTCACTGAGCTGTAGCTTCAGCGCTGTCATCTGAATTGCATTCTTCTGGGGGAAAGGGAATGTCTACCTAGTTGGGATTGGGGCCGAGCCCCGTGTTTCTTGGCTTATAAACTGGAGCACTTAATTGTGTTTAGAAATTCCCATTTTTTACAATGTTACTCATAATTTGTTGTGATCCACACACTCAAATGCTTTTGCATAGTCAATAAAACACAGGTAAATATCTTTCTGGTATTGTTGGCATTCATGCAAGATCCATTTGAAATCAGGAAAGATGTCCCTCTTTTCACATCCTTGTCTAAATGTGACTTGAATTTCAGGCAGTTCCCTGTTGTCCTGTTTCACCCAGGATATCTATAGTTTTCTTTAGTATATTGTTCTTCAATTTAGAAGTTGGCCGACAATGCATTTACTTTTTTTTGGTATTTGTATGAAGAAAGGTGAAATTGTTAAAGATGGCTGATAGTTAAACGGGCTTTGCATTCTTCACACATAAAAAAGTAAAGACCATGTGTTACTTTCATGTAAGAGAAAGAGAGATTAGATATTACTGTTGGGAAGATGTTCATTTTCTAGATGAATTTTAAAGGATATTTTTAATGTCTTAACTGCTTATAACACTCCTGTGAGAGTTTTAATCCATCTTCCAACTAAAAGAAACACAACTTTGCATACAATTTCAGGCAGTCCTTACCGATCACAACTAAACCCTGGTCTGGGTGGTTACAAAAGGAGGAAAAATAAAATTGAAACTGCTGTAAATTCTTTAGTGACATACGGAGCTAGTTTTTTTTAACGTTTATTATTTTTGTTTTTAGACAGTCTCTAGACATGGTCAATTGAGAACCTACTTCAGCTTAATCATTGGGGAGGGTTCCCTGGGGAGCAGTGACCCTACATGAAGGAGGAGGGGAGCAGGGAGAGCAGGTGGGCCTGGATGCACGCCTCCCAGCAGTCCCTTCTTCCGCTTTCTTGAAACCCCTCAGTTGCAGAGGGCAGGTGGAAAAGGCGGTTTCCTTAGGCGGAGTTTCCTCCATGAGCATGTACTGCAGGGAGGGTGAAAGGGAAGGAAGGATGCAAGGTCTGGGTCCCCTGGCCATGTGTATTGTTGGGGTGAGGAACAGTGAGGTTTCTGAAGCAGGGGGTGAGAGGCTGTGGAACATGGAAGGGGTGGGGAGAGAGAACAGCACCTCTCTGCCTCTTGACAGGGCAGGGAGGTTTGGGAAGATCTGACCATCACTGCAGTCCCCAGAGCCTCAGCCTCAATAAAGCGGCACTCAATCCAGAGGCAGGTGTTCAGCATAGCCATTAAGTCACTGGAGGTTCACAAAGCAATCCGTCAATACTGTTGGCTATTGTTTCTCTGGAGTAAAACCAGAGGGGACTGTGCTGCTTTTATTTAATTATTTAATTAAATTTCAGGTGATCCAGAAAGAGAGTAACTAATGGGTCATTTATATGAAGTGGCCAAGATTAGACAATTGGATTTTCTTTGTGGACAATTCATAGGTCATGTCAAGAATATAATGATGGACTCACTCTCTCACTCACTCAGTTTCTCACTCACTCTCTCACTCACTGACTCACTCTCACTCACTCTGTCACTCGCACTCACTCCTCACTAACTGTCTTACTCACTCACTCACTCACTCACTCTTTTACTCACACTCACTCACTCACTCACTCTTTTACTCACACTCACTCACTCACTCACTCTCATTCACTGACTCTCTCTCTCTCACTCACTCTCACTCACTGACTCACTGACTCGCTCTCTCACTAAAAAAAAGAGAGAGAAAGTAAAAAAAAGAATATAATGATGATGGAAGGAATTCCAGCTTTTAATTTTAAAATCAGTCTGTTTTGCGTGCTGTTATTTAGTTGTGATCAACAGAACCATTTTCCTTGTGCTACAAATAAATGTAATGAAACTAAGGAGACCTTTTTGTTATTGTTCCCTTCTAACTTTAAGTCTTTGTCCACACAAGTTATACTAGTATAATTTTATTTTCTCAATATAAGGACACGGCATATTGATTTTTTTAATGAATACGGAGGTTTGAGAATTAAGCAAGACACACAATCCATTCCTCGTATCCTTTTCTGTTAACCTTTTCCACCCTCACCATTCTGTACAGGGAAAATGTTGAACCTTGATGCTTGAGGAAGGGAGTGTGATGGGATAGGTAGCTTGAAGGAGAGAGAAAGAGAGAGAGAGAGAGAGAGAGAGAGAGAGAGAGAGAGAGAGAGAGTCCTTAGAGGCAGAAAAGACCATTGACCATGGAAGAAAACGTAGCCTATTTCTGTTACCCAAAGAAAGGAAAATTCCAGCCACCAGGAGTACTTCTGTTCTCTGGGATTGGCAAAGAGGAAAGTGAATAAATAGGAGGGCCCACTGTGGCTGAAAAGCTTGAAGGGGAGTGCTACCTCCCATCGCACTGCTGGTGGGAGTGGTATTGGGGTCCTCAGCTAACTAGTGACCTGGCCCTCATGTGAGCAGGAGCAATGAGTGCACACATCCTTCTAATCCTTGGTTCGGTTGCCATCTCCCCATTGCCTTGAGGGTTGGTGGGCCTGTCGTGGGAAGGATGAGGTTTCTGGCCAGAACTCAGCAGGTCTGTGTGTAAATGAGCACCGGCGGGGAGCTCTGTGGTGTCGGTAGTGGCTGGGCGAGATTGAAGGGGGACACAGCCTGCTTTCTTTACTCTCTCATACTGTACAGAACTGTGACTAAAATAACAGTGGGGAACCTTGAGGGTCAGAGGCCAGGTGGGGGGACTCCAGCTGAGGAGAGGGGAAGTCTTTGGCTCCCAAGATGGGCAGGTTTCAGGATTATTATCCTGTGCGCTGGCCAGAGTTCTGGTGGCTGTGCATCTGTCAGGCTGTCCTTCCCCTTGCCTTTCAGTGGGGCGTGTTAGTCGGAGAAGGGAATAAAGAATCTTCCCCCAATTGTTTGCAGGTCATTGTAAAGGTGGAATTCCCTGCGCCACCCCCTCCCCGGCCAGGAAATCGAGGATGGCTAAAGCCTTTAGCTTATAACTTGGGTTCATTCTCGACTCTCCAGCAATTTCCTTTCCATTTTATATGGGGAAAAGGATGGGGCAGTGATCACAGGGCGGGGTGGGGGTGGGGACCAGTAAGTCTATTATTTTGGTGATGGATAGGCTGGAGATTGTTTGGTTTCTGGTTTCATTTTGAGAACCCTTCGCTTTTCCATACTCCCCGTCCAGCCTTCTCCCTCCTCCTCTTTCTGGGATGGAAAGGGGTGTGGCTTTAGCCGGAAAGATGGCCGACCCCTGGGGGTGGGATGTAGTAGTGGGTAAGGGGTGGGGTGGGTGGACACCCTGAAGGGAGAAGGCTGATGACAACTGAGTCCTAACAAGCAGGGTATGGTGAGGGACAAAACGGAAGAATTCCTTTGACCATTGGGACTTTGTCTTCAGAAAAGCAGGTTTGGGGATTCTCGAGTGCTGGTCTGTCTGCGGAGCCCTCGGTCTTGGCCGAGACGCCTTCCTGTGGCTGTGGATCTCGAGCCTGGAGGCCCATCCGGGGCCGGCGGAAGCCTGGCAGCCAGAAGGAAATTGTCCTGAACCAAGTACGTGAGAGCAACGGTGGTGGCCTGGTTTTGGGCTCCTAGGGTGGAGGGTGGCGGAGAACGCAAATTCCAGGAGGGTCCTGGATCTCATCCACCTCCCCCCTTACGTCCCTCCCACACGCCCGTGCCGTGCTCCGAAAGGAAAGGGCTCCGAAGGTACAAAGCGGGGAAGGAAGTCGCTGGAAGGAGCGCCCAGAGGTGGAGGTGCGGAGGACATTGTTCTGAATAATAAAGCGTGTAGCGCCCTTGGGGTTCTTCCATCCACCAAGGGCTCAGGTTGAGACTAGTGTGTTTTTCAGGTTTGCTGGCGGCAGAAAGCCAGGTAAGGAAAGGAGGCAATTGCTCCACAGCAGGAGGGAATTTGTCGGGTGGGGGCAGGGCCCCTGAGCTGGTGGGGTTGGAGTTGGAGACTTCCAAACACTTCACTCTTCTCTGGCCTCCACAACCTTTCAGCCCCACCCCTATCCATTTTGTTCCAAGGAAGGGGGTGTGGCGTCCTCTTCAGAGGAAGTAACTGACCAGGAGCAGGGGGGTGGGGTGGGGGGTACGGTTGGAGGAAAGGATGGAAGGAGGAGGGAGAGAAGGAGTTTCAAAGCAGTGACTTAGAATGAAGTGGGGACTAACTGCCGCGGAGAAACAGTGAGCAAATACGAGATCCTTCTGTTCCCAAAGGGCTCCGCTTTCCCCTCCTCCCCTCCTTGTCTGCAGATTTACCGGACGCTGTTCACCTGGAAGCAAGAAAGGGCAGAAAGAAGAACGTGCCTGGATCAGTGCCGGTGGATGCGAGCGCGCCACTGCACCGGGACATCTGGAAGGGCAAGGGAGTAGTCCCTGACTGCTGTTGTTGTTAGGTGGGTTTGAACTTGAAGTCAATTGCACATCCCATGTAACGTATTGGAACCAGGCTGTGAGCTTGACTCGAAGCAATTTGCCAGGTCCTTTATCCCACGGAGCTGCTAAAAAACAAAATTCACTGCCATCGAGTGCATTCCAAGTCACAGGGACCCTATCAGATAAAAAATAACTGCCCCTGTGGGTTTCTGAAACTCTAAATCTTTACAGGAGCAGAGAGCTTTACCTTTTTCCCATGAGGCAGAGGGTGGTTTTGAATTGCTGACCTTGCAGTTAGCAGCTCAGCATATAACCCACTGCACCACCAGGGCTCCTGGGTGGGTTCAAATCTGGCTGGGTTGCTCCCCAAGAGATCCATGGAGTCAAAACCAAATCCATTGCAATCCAGTTGATTCCTACTGCTGGTGGGAATAGAATATAGGACAAAATTTTAAAAGCCTCATAGGGTTTCCAAGGTGTTAAGCATTGGGCTGCTAATCTCAAGGTCAACAGCTAAAAACCACAGCTGCTCCGTGGGAGAAAGAGGAGGCCACCAGCTTCTGTACGGCTTGACAGCTTCTGGAATCTTATATAGAGTCACTTTGAGGGGACTTGACTTGATGGCAGTAGGGTTTGGGGTTTTAAACGTTTTAAGAGAGCAGATTGCCACATCTTTCTTCCATGGAGGAGGCGTGGTTAGCGCCTCAGTGCTTTAACCACTGTGCCCCAAGGACTCCAGGTAACAGATTATGTAGGTACTTTAAATTTAATGCACTGAGGTAAGGTGGAAGAAAGGGAGTTTGGGGAATCTGGAGATGGGAAAACTTCCAAAATTAGCACCCAAGAAAAGGTCTACATACCAAGTCCTGAACCCTAGCTATTTCTATTTGCTTTGTCTGTGGTTCTGTCTGTTGGCATGCAAAGACCAAAAAACGAATCAAACCAAAGAGCCTCAAATTTTCCCCTGTATTTCCAGGTCCTATTTTATCTGAAGCTACAACAGAGCCTGCGAGCGGTACTTAAAGACTCCTGCTTCTCCTCCTAACTCTTCCGGACCAGAGCAAGCCTACTCTACCTGTGTTTGGGATCAGAGCCCCCTCTGTACCATGGGCCGCACTCGGGATGCTGGATGTGTGGCTGCTGGAGTGGTGATCGGGGCTGGTGCCTGCTACTGTGTATATAGACTGACCTGGGGAAGAGATGAGAATGAGAAAATCTGGGATGACGACGAGGAGTCTAGCGATGGGGCAGAGACTGGGGTAGAGACTGAGAGAAGCGCTCAGGCCAACCCTGGGCCAGTGACTACAGCCAGAGTTGAAACTGACCCAGTGGTCAAGGCTGAGGTGGGCTCAGGAGTCAAGAGTGGTTCAGATTTAAAGGTAGAGGCCTATTCAGGGCCCCAGAGTGGGGGTGGCCTAGAGGCCAAGGCCAAGGCTCTTTTTAAGGTCCTGAAAGAACAAGCAAGTGCAAAGATGGGCAGAGGGGGCAGGATGAGTATCATCTCAGGGAACAGGACACTTGCACCCAGTTTACCCTGCCCAGGAGGCAGGGGTGGAGGCTGCCATCCCACCAGGTCTAAAGCTGGGGGCAAAGCAAGTGGAAAATCCAAGGGAAAGCCCAAAAGCAAGAGCACGAAGCCTCCAGCTGCAGCCTGTCCTGGCCGCAGGGTTAAATTCAACTTTCCCTATAAAATTGATGACCTTCTGGGCACTGCTGAACTTCAAAAAGTCCTTAACATCCTGGAGCGATCCAATGACCCTTTTATTCAAGAAGTTGCTTTGGTCACTCTGGGTAATAATGCAGCGTATACATTTAATCAAAATGCCATTCGTGAATTGGGTGGTGTCCCAATTATTGCAAAAATGATAAAAACGAAAGACCCTATTATTAGGGAAAAGGCTTACAATGCCCTTAATAATTTGAGTGTGATTGCTGAAAACCAGGGCAAGATAAAGACGTATATTAGTCAAGTGTGTGATGACACCGTGATCTGTCGTTTGGATTCAGCTGTGCAGATGGCTGGACTCAGGCTGTTAACCAACATGACGGTGACCAATCATTACCAACATTTGCTCTCCTATTCTTTTCCCGACTTTTTTGCTCTGTTATTCCTGGGAAATCACTTCACCAAGATACAGATTATGAAACTAATTATAAACTTCACAGAAAACCCAGGCATGAGAAAAGAACTGCTCGGTAGTAAAGTGCCATCAGAACTGATTTCCCTTTTTAATAAAGAACAAGACAGAGAAACTCTCCTTAATGTCCTTACCATATTTGAGAACATAAATGACAACATAAAAAGTGAAGGGTTTGCATCATCCAAAAAAGAATTCAGCAGAAATTCACTTTTTTTCTTATTCAAGGAATCTGGGGTATGTGTAAAGAAAATTAAAGCTTTAGCCAATCACACTGATCTGGTGGTGAAAGTAAAAGTCTTAAAAGTATTGACCAAACTCTAATCGGAAGTTTGTCCCAAGCACTAGAGGTAAGTTTTTAGTTTCAAGTTAGGAACAATCTATTTTGTAAGTTCTTGGTTTTTCACCGTGCTCTGGGGCACAGGGAGCTTTGCAGCTGCCGTTTTGGAATAATGAATAGCACCGATCAGCGACAGTGATGCTGGCTACGAAGATTGCGTATAGGCTGGACCGCTTGTTTGAAAGATGCCAAATGAATAGCAGAGCTTGTACAAAGAAGTAAATCATTTATTGATTCATTATTGCAGAGATATTTTTACTCTTTACCTAAACGGATGTAGAATTACTTCTACATCATGAATAAAGCTATACTTCTGTATTGGTTTACTTTTGTTAATCAAAAACTTGTGTTGCATCAATAAATTTGCGTGTTTTAAGCAGCAAACAAGAAAAAAAAGACATTTTTTTTTGGTAATTGGGTTTATACTCTATTGGGAAATAAGATCCATGATGGAAAGCAAGAAGATCATAGCCAGTTTGTGTTGGTGCATAGAGAAGGAGCCAGAAGTTATGGGCAGCAGTGCCAGGGAAGTTTTACAGAGAAACGGGACACTTCAGTGAGCTGGATTTGCAACCCGCTGCCCACCACCATCATGGTGGTTCCACTGTTGGGTTCGAACTGTTCACCCGGAGGTTCGCAGTGCAACCAGTAGCTAATTATGATAGCAAGGAAAACTGGGGGTAAGTAAGGGTCAGCAGGGCATTTCAGGGGGAAGGCATGGTGGGAAGAAAGGGTGGCAGTGGGACTCCTGCTCCCCAGAGAAGACTGGCCTGCCTGGAGTGGAAAGTGTGGGGAAAAGGGAATAAGGAGAGATGGGGTTTGACAGGAGAGTGAGCCCCGTTCATGGAAGACTCGGATTCCCAAGCTGCTGAGTCTGAACGCTAGTCCATCTCCCTGTGGGAGCCACCAAAGTCTTTTGCCACCAGAGGAATGGCTGTATGAAAGGAAAAATGAATGTGGCTGGTGTGTGTGATGCAGAGGGGTGGGGACTGGAGATGGGAAAACCATTAGAAAGATGTCACCATGGTCCAGGCATGAGATGATCAAAGGGGGGAGGTTACACTGGTGGCCGTGGGAATGGGAAGGAGAGGGCAGACTCTTCCAAAGAGGAAGTGTTGAATCCTGTTCTGAGGCCTACAGAAAGGGACGATTTCATGTTCCAGGGG